GAGAGGAGCTGAGAATGAATGTATTCTGAACCAACCTAAGAACAAAACCAGACAGACACTGCTCAACAACATACTCTCTCCCCTGCTAGGTTTATTTCCAGTCCATGGGACTGGCATGGAAGTAGGTAACATATTCCACCAGGTCTCCCCTGAAATGTCTCTCACCTGTTATACCACTCCTCTTAGGACTTTGTAATCAGACATCTGGCAAGTGCTTGGCATCCTGCTCCCCATTCTATGTACCCTGCCCCCAAAAGGAACACATGCTCACACATTGCTTTGTTTTTATTGGAAATGCATTCCATTGGTGTTCTCTAGGCAAATCAAGCCAAAGTCTTGGTATGTGAGTCCTAAGACGATAGGAAATCTGGATGGTATTTAATAAAAATATTCATCCCTCAGGCCTTTCCTGAACTCCTACTAAGCGTCAAGTTTTGTGCTGGGTGCTGGAGACAACAGGAAATCAGACAGGCTTATTGCCCTGATCTGAATGGGGAACAAGCACAGCCCAATAGGTAAGACAACGTCACACAAAGGAGGAGCCACACCTAAGTGGGGGAGCAGGAGGAAAAAATAGTGAGGCATCAGGTGTTCGGTGATGTGGGGTGGGGCTGAGGAGTGATCAGGAAGGGCTCCAAAGCAGAAGAAACCTGAGTATGGTGCGTATACATTGTTTTTGTCTCCAATAGATGCCTAAACAACAAAGAGATGAAGCCAAAGGTACACAGTAAGGATCTGAGTGCAGTCAGCACAGCCTGAGAGCTCATGCTCTTAGCCACCACGTGTGGTGTACTCCCTCGGAACAGCAAAGGCTGGAGGCAGAGCAGTGTGGTTAGAGGAAGATATTCCTGATGGTCTGCTATATATGTCAAGGGCTCCTGGCTTCCACAGAGACAACAAAGGAATCTTTCATTGAACGACCTTGGAAAAGCCTACAGCAAGTCTTATGAAGAGGTTGGAAACTCCCAGGACAGAGCCATGATAGGAAGCCACTTGGGGTCACTTGAAGTCTGCAACTACACAAACTTTTGCAGATGGAAGTAATTCTTTTGCCTGGGTAGGTGTGGCTAGCAAGCTCTTCAGTGGTAGGGAGGCAGGGTACAGGGAGGTAAGAGACAGTTGCACCGCGGTAGAAACGAAGGACCCTGCTCACTTTAGCTCCTTAACTACTGACCCTGCTCACTTTAGCTCCTTAACTACTGACCCTGCAATGAGGTTAAAGCCAGATGGCTCCTGAAGGTGCTATGTCCTCAGTATGCAGAAGTGGGCTAAGCCCTGAACATGTAGCTAAGGTTTTGATGGTCTGGATCACCCTAATCGGCAGCTCTACTTTCCACTCTCCCAGCCTCTAGGAGAGCTAGGATGTTGGAGTGGGGGAGGTAGAACAAGACGAGCCCAAGAAAGGAGAAGAAGAGTTATGTGTAGTTTCTGTATCATACATTTTTGTATGACACAGAGTTAGACTTTGCACTTGCTGGCTCTGAGAAATAGGCAGCTCTTTAGAACCACTCTGTCCTCATTTTAAAAATGGGAATACAACTCATTGATAACTCATTGTTGAGGTAATATCAGAAGCAAATAGTGGCTCTTAGAATGCAATGTCATGTTGTAAAACAATTTTGGAGAAAAGAATTACTTTGCTAACCTGTGTTGTACAATTTGGAGTTGTTGTAACCTTGAACTTCAATCTCACTCTAGAAACTGCTAATGAGTGTCCAGCCAAAGAAGAACAGACAAGAATATCTTACCCTCCTTCCTTTGCCTTTAAGAAACTCAGAATTGTACTTAAAGAGTTCTGGAAGAAGTTACTTAGAAGTATATTTTTAACTACATTTCCTGGTTGGCAAGGCAAGGAACCTCCAGGTAGACATTCTTGAAGACCAAATGAAAAGCCTAGAAAATAAAAAATGTTTTAAGGCTGGATAATTCAGTCACTCCATATCTACACTTAAAACAAAACCAGTAAGGTAAGACTAAAGCCATAGACAGGACTAATCCAATCAGCCAATAAGAGACCTGGCCTGACCAACATCATTGCCACCTGTTGGAACTATGGCCACTCTCTGCCATCCCAGAAAAAGCTTTATCAGAGATGAGACTAGCAGGCATGAGGAATGGTTGCCAACATCACCCTCAAAGCACTGCTAATAAAACACACACACCAACCTTCCCTGTCCAAGTCCACCTCAGGGGCATTTTTTACACACACAAGGCTGCAAAGGCTGGTGCCATGCTGGGGCCTGGCAGCAGAACTCCTTCAAGACAGACGGCACAAGGCAGATACCTTCTGTCGGACAGCTGCATTATCCAGACCCACAGCGTGGTGGAATCAGCAGAGCAAATGGCTTACAAACCTGGAGCACAGCTTCTCCTGGCCCTAGCTGTTAGGCATCCACATCCCTGCCACGCTGCTTTCCCGACTGTAGGGCATTCCTCCAGACCAGAAGACCCACATTCAAACGCTACCTGAGAGGGAGGGCAACTGAAGGACCTGCTCCCATCCGAACTCCAGCACTTTTACAAATTAGCAGAAGGGAGGCTCCCCCACCAAACTGGTTATAGCTCCAGTGTTGGATAATATTCTGGGAGTTTGCTCCTAGATCTTAAGTGTTTTGGAACTCTAAAGTTATAAGCTGCTTAGGATCCTGAGTTTGCACAGGACTCTGCATGATTCTCCTGACGGCCCATTTTGGAAAAGATTCCCAATGGCTTTCTCAAAGACAGCCAGCCTACCCTGAACATATTCCTACTCCCAGGCGCTGAGCAGGAGCTTGAAGTCCTGCAGACCTGGGTGTGAGGTCAGACAGTGGGGAAACAGTATTCACAGAACGGAATATAACTAGTTGAGTGAGTTCAGAGGCGACACTGGAAGCAGTGGCTCCAAGACAGCTGGGACTGGGTGAGGTGACTCTTTGTACACTTAAGTTCAACTTTCCCCAGCCTGGAGAAGACTCAGCTGACCCAAGCCAGAATTTCCCCTTGGTGCCACAAAGTGGAGGGCGACACCAAAAGGAGCCTGGCATCCAGCCCCTGGGGGGACTCCTGGGAAGTTGGGGGGGGTAGGGAGGGCGGGCTCGCGCGGAGGGTAACTCACGGAGGAGAAGTTGTGCGGGCCGCAGAGCTCGCCACGGTATTTGCAGGAGAGCAGCATGTCCTCCAGCTGGTGGCCCAGACGGTCCATGAAGGCGGCGCTGATGCCCTCAAAGTGGCGCGGCGGCAGAAAGAGCCGGAAGTCGGCCAGCTTGCGGAACCACTGGCGGCGTGGCTCGTCACCCCTCAGCAGCTCGCTGACCAGCGGGCGCGCCGTGCGGTTGGGTAACAGCAGCCCAAGCCAGTGGCCGGCGTAGTAGAGGTCCCCCTTGGAGAGGCGCGGGAAACGCAGCGGGTTGTTGTTGCACACGGTGACGGCGGGGAAGGGCAGCTGGCGGCTCCACTCGCGGTGCACCCGCGTGTGCGACGGGAAGCTGAGCCAGTACAGCAGGCGGTTCGAGGACCAGGACAGCAGCAAGCCGAGGGATGTGCAGAAGGCCAGCACCCACAGCGCCCGCCGCTGGAAGGAGCCCCCTGCCGCCGTGCGCCCGGCGCACATGTGCCGCAGCCCGTGCAGTTTAGCGCGGCTCAGAGACGGCCGCCCCCTGCGGGCGACCCCCGGCCTCTGCAGCGCTCGCTCGCAGCCTCTGTCGCCCCCGGGCTGCCCGGCCGCCGCCACCTCGCGGGCCATGCGGAAGCGTCCCGGGCCGGAGAGCGCGGCCGCGGGCAGCCCGGCTCCGCGGCTCCGGCTCATTCATTCAGTCCGCGGCCGGCGCCGGGCGGAGCCGCCATGGGAGTCCGCAGCAGCAGAGGGAGCGGCGGCGACCGCGCACAGCCCGCGCTAGGGAAGCGTGAGCCCGAAAGGAGCTCCGGTGGTGCGGCATGCCCGCCCGGCGCCTCCGCCGCCGCCTCCGCGGGCGCCCGCCCGGGACCGAGCGCCGCCTCGGCCTGCCTCCGCTGGCACTGGCCTCTCCCGAGCGCCTCACAGGCTCTCCGAGTCTTCCTGGGGATGCCCGACTTCGGGCTCTACCTCCGTAGGGCTCCCCCTCCCCACACGGAGCTGCCTTTCCCGCCCCTGGCCACTGCGCCCTCCTTCCCTCGTCCCGGACCTCAGGGGACCCTGCACTGAGTCCCCCTTGCTCCGTCTAACCCCAGCTTTTACGCTCGTCTTGAGAGAGGGGCCACTCGTCCACCATGCCTGATTTGGACATCCCGAAGGACCCCACCAGCCTGGCCCTTAGCCCAGCGGCGCTGGGACACCGGAGAGAAGGCGCCAACGAACGAGCGCCCCCAGAGGCGCACGGCGGCTCCGGGCTTGGCGGGCGGGATGGGTGTGTACTAGGGTGAGTGGTCGCGCAGCGGCTGCTTCCTCTTTCCAGTCCCTCTGGGCCCGTTCCTTCTCACTGCTGCCGGGTTGCTCTCGGCAGAGACCGGTGAAGGAGTACCCAAGTCCTGCGCCGGAGCCCCGCGAGTGCCCGATTTCGCCTGGGGCTGGGGTTTCTTAGGGCGTCCTGCGGGAAGCTGCTTGCTGCCCGAGGTTTTCAAGGATGCTGGCCAGAGGGAAGAGTCGCTTTCCCCTTTGGCTCTGACCGCAGGGGTGCCTCACTTCTCCGGAAAAGCGGGGTTTCCTTGTCGGCTGCCTCTTCTCTTCCTTGCCCCGGTGGTGCCCGGTGCTGGAACCGAAGAGCTCGGGCAACACCTCCTGGGGGTGACTCGGACTCGCTGCTCCGTGCGCCCTTCTCCTCCGAGACCCCAAGCCCGTGGTGGCAGTGGCGGTGGCAGCGAGGCCGGCTGCGCTCCTCTCCTGGATGCCCGGCCCTCTTCGGGCCCCGGGCGAACTTGGTCAGCGGCCGCGCAACGCTGGCGCGGCTGGGCTCCCCGCACCTGCTCCTTCGCTCGCTGGCCCCGCGACTCAGGGCGGGAGGGGCGGCGGCGGGGAGCGCTGTGCGCTCTTGGAGACGCGGTGCTGACGCGGCCCGGCTCCTCCTCGCTGCATTTTAATTCCTGGCCACTGTGGCCGCTGCACACCGAGCCGGGAGCCTCTCGCTGGAGTTGACGGGGTTGGGGAGGGTGAGAGGTGCACTGCACAGATGTGCTAGGGTGTGCGGGGTTGTGGAAGAGATATAGAGTGTTGGAAGTACTGTGTTACGTGCAATTGTGTCTGTATAAAGTGTGAGCGGACACCGGAGTGTGCAAGATGGGTTGGAGGGACAGAGGCTGTGCAGTGTGGGCATCAGAGCAAGTCTGAGTGCGGTGTCATGCAGAGCGTGTGGGCGGTGTGCACCATGTGTGCGAATGGGTATTTCTATCTCCTGGATGTGAAACTTGTGTCTGCTGGTGATGCACTGTGGCTGCTAGGGACTGTGTAGTATGTGGAGGACAGTGCCTCTGGGGGATGGTGGCAGTTAGCGGGTGGTGGTAGGCGCGAATGGTTATGGTTTCCGGATGTGGGGTGCGATTGGTGTGCGTGCGTGCGTGTGTGTGTGTGTGTGTGTGTGTGTGTGTGTGTGTGTAATGTGGAGGAGTATGTGTTTTGAGGTTGAGCAGTTACTGGGCCTCTAACAGTCTGGGCTCTCTGGCAAGGCTCTCCCCTCTGCCTTTCAGGAACTTCTCTGGTGTACCCCAGCCCTCCCTTGAAAGCAACAGCTGCTCCAGCCTCCTCCGTTCCTACCTCCTCCACCAGGAGAGGGAGAAGAGAAAGCCAAGCCGGTCCTGGACAGGAGACTCTGATGCTCCCATTCCAGCGGATGTCTGATCATATCATCTTCCCTTCCTGGATGGGCCCAGGGTCATCCACTAATCTCTGGAAACTTTCCATCCTTAAATTTGTTTTTTTAAAACATCTAACCTGCACTTGTTTGGGACACTGAATAGGTGTGTTGTGGATGTCTAGCTGGACTTCATAGCTGAGATTAGGGAGGTGAGTACTGGCCCAAGATCACATATCCTGGGCAGTGGGGCTGAGTCAGCACCCAGGTCTCCAAAGTGCTGCTTCTTTCTATTGTTCCACAGCCCTTATGCTTTTTGTCCTCTGTCAAGACCCATAGGATCTCGTTCCCATGGTTCCCTGATGATATAAGGTACACAGTAGGACTCGCCTCTATTTCCCAAGCCATTGACTCATTGGAGCCTCACTGGGACAGGTGACACTTTGAACCCTATTACTCCATGGGATGAAATTTTTCTAGACATTTTGCAGAGTATATTTGTTGAGTGAGACAGAGAGAATGGATCCTGAGGCTGGGAAGGTGCCTCAATGGGAGAAAGAGCAAAAGGGGTCCTTTGGGGGCAGGAGACTTGGGGAAGGAAGGAAAGACTTGGGAGTGGAGAGGAATTTCACCTCCACTGCAACAGTGAATTAGGGACAATTCAGATAAATCTGTCCAATGAGCAGTGGGTGTCCAAGGAGGAGGGAAGTGGTGGCAGGTGGCCCTTCCCTCCCCACTGTCCTGCAGAGCATCCCTTGGGCTAGCCACACTCTGCTGCTGGACTCTGGGGTTCGTGTCTCCTACTCACACACACCCAGCAACACATACACAGATATAAGCACACTACACACATGAGGACACATACGCACATACAAGAAAAAGTACATGACACACATACATGCCAGCATACACCACATAACACAAACTACTCACAAACACATGCACATGTACCACTCAACACATGCACATAGGACACGCATGTGCATATTTCAAACATATACACATTACTTGCTCTTTATAGGTGATGTATCATATATACATCTGTATGTTACATGCAACACACATGTATAAACATGTACATGCATTACGTACAGACACACAACTGCACACCTAGGGCCTCTTCTTGTTCATCTAGGGAAGAAACTTTCACAGCTTGCTGCTGCTGAGATTCTACTTTGGATTTGATGTGTCAGGAATGTTTGCTGTTAGCTTTGGTGGGAGGGTTTTGTGGCTGCCAAGGGCACTGGGGCCTGTGGCAAAGGGTTGTACTCCAAAGTTCTGGGCTTGGTCTCAGGGCTCTGTCCAGAAGATACCTAAACTAAGGTGTGACCCAAAACTAAGGTGCAGTGGACTTGTGGCCTCAGTGCAGTTATAGTGAAGCAGCTGGGATAGGCATGTTCCAGCTCCCAGAACCCTCACTCTGGAGTGTCATGCAGCTCCATTTTATAAAAAGCCTTTAAAACATTTTATGATTTTGATTTGTTTGGCTGTTGTGGGATTTTTCTTTCTTGGCAGTTTCCCTCTTGAAATGTATGCCTGCTACTTTGGATTGACTGTCTTCTCTGCCATGAGTTTTCTTGTACATTCTCCAGATGGGCAGCTTGCTTAGGGAGAGGGGATGTCCTGTTTAGATCCAAAGGGTGTTGGCACCGAAATCAGAAAAAGAGACACAGCAGTAATCATCCCAAGCGGAGACTGGCGGCTCTCTACATGGCTCATGTGTGCAGCATGTTCCCAGTGTACCTAAGATACCCTGGACCCTGGTAGCAAGCACCCTGTGCCTACCCTGGTGAAGTTCTGCTCTTTCCTCCAATCCCATCCTAAGTTTTGCCTCTAATGCAATGCTTTTTCTTGATTCTTTTGGTCTTTCTTCCCCAATGAACCCAAAACACTTTGTATTGATACCTCCATAACAGACTTTTGTCATCACATTTGTCATTGCTTGTATCCAGACTTTTGTTATAGATTATGAGCTCTTTATGAGGACAGAGATTCTATCCCATTTATGTTTGTGTTTCTGCCCATTAGCACAGTGTCTTAGCTCATTGAATTAACACACTGATACAGAGTAACAGGGGAAAAGAAAGTAACATTTCTTGAATAACTGTTATATGCCAGGCATAAAAGTAGGCATAGTTTTTCTTTCATATTCAAACCTTGTGGGGAAGGAATTTTTACCTTTTTTCTCCAGTTCTGGGAATTGAACCCAGATTCTTTCTGATGCTATGCAAGCACCTTACTACTGAGCTACAACCTTAGTCTTTTGCCTTCTTTTTGCTGTTGTTGAACAAAAGGTAGGAGGATAGTATTTGAATACCATTCTCAGTCTTTCCAAAGTCCAGGATTTCCCCTCTCCATTATGTTTCTTTCCAAAGTACTGTATTATGACAAATAATAATAACTGTAACAATGCGGTTTCTAAGTGCTAAGATCTCTCCTGAGTGTTTTATACTAAACACAAGTGTCATCAGTGCTCTCAGTGTTTAACCTCAGAATAATCCTGCTAGATAAATACTAAGATTTTCTCTGTTTCAAAGAGGGGAAACCTTTACCACAGAGAGGTTACATTATTAGCTCAAAGCCCTACAGCAACTAAAGGAGGGGACAGCTTTGGCATCTAAACAGTTGGGCTCCATTCCATGTGCTCTCAAAGAATGGCTCCTGTGAATTAGCTTCCACAGCCCAGTGGACTCCGCTGGCCAGGAAAACAAATTTACGAGGCAGTGGATGAGCCAACCCACATAACCTCTCCACCAAGAAATTAGAATTTAGCACTGTGGTTTCCCAATAATAAGATTTTAAGAAAAATTTCCTTTGCTTGTTTACCTCTACGACGTCTGCTGCTCCACACCTGGCATTGTGCACAGAGGAGTACAAAGGTCTGATTGCATATTCTGTGGTGTGACCACTGCCACAGTTCATAAGCTCTTTTCTCCAATGAAATGAGTATTTTGGGGCAGGAGGAGGTCAGTGTATGTCACTGCAGTTCTTTGTGTAATATAATTTTAGAAGCTGGCACTTTTTTTTGGCTTGATTAGGCTTTATTAAATCCTAGCATTCCTGTTTACCCGCAGTTCCTATGACTCAGGGGTTGGGAATGGCACAGTAGCTGAAATACCACTTATCCCTGAGCCCTTCCAGCTGCTGGAATCCGTTCTCTGCATCCTGCCTGCAGTAGTGCACTGGGAACTCTTCTATCTTAGAACATATTGCATTGCATTGTTGCTTCCCTTCATCTTTGTTTCATGTGAGAACTCATAGATATTGATAGAAACCCAGTTCTTGAGCACCAGAGGAGCTTAGCTGTTTACCTACTGAGCAAAGTCTTCGGGTCAGTTGGTACTTCTCTAGGCTAACTGTCCCTGGTTCTTCACTGTTTTTCTTGTAGTTTCTGCTCCTGATAACAGGATTGTGGATGCCTTACCATGTGGTCCTCTGGCTTGTGGAGTATGAGTCCACTGATAACCTGGATTTAGCCTTTCTAATTGCCAGTCTCTCTTCTGATGGTCTTTGTTCTTATTTGGTCTCTTACTTCTGGGATTTTTTGGGGGTGTGGGTGGCAGAATTAGTTTCTGGTTTCTTGCTTAGAATGCTGAATGCTTTTTCCTCTGGAACATGCTGCTAATAGAGACGACAGCTAGCCCTTCTTTCAGTATTAGTGTTTATTAGTATGGGGCATGTGGGCTTTTGTGGGTCTGTCGACCTATGACCTTAAATCTCTCTTCCTCTCGCTTTTCCTTTCTCTTTGTTTTTATATTGTTCTTGGCTCCCTCTGCCACTTTGTCCTTCTCTCTGCTGCTACTCCTTTTTTTCTTTCTCTCTCTAATATCACCTGAAGCTAGTAGTCTTTTTTGATATTTTCTAAGCCCATGCTAAGGCTTTAAGGCCTTCAAATTGGACAAAAGTTTTAGAACCAGAGTGGATGTCCCATAATCATAGCGGAGATTTCTGTATTTATAGAAAGAGAGTAAGGAGGACCCTCCTCTATGGTTTTTAGCTCATGGTACCCCCATTTTCCCATGCCTTTCCCCATATTCCTCCATGGAGTTGGCACTGCAGATGTTTCGCCATCTTTTTTTACAATGGTGTTTGCAGCTGTAAAGTACTACTCCATGAGTTTCTTATACCTGCCCAGGCTTTCTTGCTTCCTTTTCTTCTGAGTTCTTTCTTACACTCCCTGTGTGTTTCTGCCCTTAAGTCATCCTTGGTTTACTTGAGTTAAAGCTTTCAGCCACCTTTCTCCTGTCATCAGCAAGTCCTATATGGAAGAGGTCAAGCAAAGGCATGTGAAGGCCATGAAAGGTCAAAGCCTGGAAGGACCAGGTCTGGAGGAGAGAGCTTGAAGGCTCATACTCCACAGGGCTGGTAGTAGCTTAGCTGAAGCATTGCGATTCCTATTTAAGGGAGAATCTTGAAAAGTAAGATTTGATTCCTTCACTTGAGAGGAAGAAGTCAAGGTCTAGAGAGAGTAAAGACTTGGTAGAAACCACAAGGATTGGTACTGATAAAAGTGGAACCACAATATAGGTCCAAACTTCCATTTCTTTCACTATGGTATTTTTTTCTAAAATTTTTGAAATTGGTAATGTGTTCATATGGTTATAAGGACAAAAGAAAATTTCCAGTAAACTTCCCCTAAATATCCCCAGACACCCATTTCACCTTCCTGAAAGTAACCCATACCATCAATTTCCTGTGTGATCTTTTAGGGTATTTTATGAGTATACATATATATTTAAATGTGTAGTCTTCAGCCACTCATTTGTTATGTAAAGGCTGCATTCGGTGAATCTCATTGGCTAGACTAATTATACTTCCTGTTCTGCCATCTTTTCCCCCTGAATTTTCAGTGATTTTATGGTTGCCTTCTTCTAGCACCTCACTCCAACGTCTGTTATTTTCCTCAACTTCTCATTTCACATTATCCTGCTCTCCCATCCAAAAAGGACAGTGGATTCTATGACAAGGTGGTACACAGCACTTGCCATTTTATTATCAGATTTCTATTTAACTCTTTGCTGGGTACACTAATGGATAAAAGCTCTCATGTGAATAATCTCAAACAGCAGGTAATGCAGAGATATTTCTGTTTGCCCCTAAGGAGCATTATGTATTTCATTTTCCTGTTTGTATTTTCCTTTGGCCAATTATTACACATGCACCAGCACATCTCAGTGCCCCGAACACAAATTTCTCTTGCTGATCAACAAGGGTGTTTCAAACATGCATTGGTTGGCAGATCAAATTAGTTTGGAACTCAGAAGCTTCTGTGACTAATATATAGAGTGGGTAAAATATACCATGGAGGGAACCAGAAAGTGCCATGGTGAGATGTGATCTCAGTGAACATGCAGCAGTTAGAGTTGGAAGAGGTAATCAAGAGTTTAGTGACTTGTCCCCGGGGTCTGAGAGTTGATCTGGTAGTGATGGAGGTGCTGATGCTGATGCTGACGATAAAGACATTACTGAGTAGCTGATGCTGAGCACTGTCAGGGTTGAGGTCAACGAGCATAAGTTAACTCATTTAAAAAAATTCTTCTGAGATACATATTTCCATGCTAGCTCTTTTATACAGGAGGAAACTGAGGCAGAGACATGATAAGTAACTTACCCCATCAGGGCTGGGATACAAACCCAGGTACTGTGGCTCTAAGCGACAAAGTCTTAATAAGCTGGCTGTAATCAGCTGAAAGTGATGACTGTTGTGGACATTTATGCAGCACCCAATGGGCACTGGGCCATTGTCCTTGGTCCTGGGAGGACCTCTGATCAGATAGGGTTCGTGCCTTATTTTTCAGTCTAGTGGAGGACAAGAGTAATTTACTATTGTAAATACTAAAATGAAGTGCTAACAGGTGAGTGTAATAAAGAACGGTGGGTGTTCTTTCAGACCTGAGCACAGTGTGTTAAAATGGTGCAGACGATTGTGCTGAGAGCTATTGACATAGGCTTTCTTCATTTTCCACTCATGTTTCTTTTCTCACCACAGCTCCTGGAGAGTTTCATCAGCCCTGCCCACAGTAGTCACCCCTTGATTCAGGATCTGAGACAGAGATAACACCAGCATGGTTCTATGTTGAGGAGACCCTCATCTCATTGCCCTCATTGTCCACATTTACGATGTTCAGCTCCTTTTCCAAAGTGAGACTTTGAGTTCCTGATAGTGTCTTGGTGGCTTGTGATATCTAGTTTCTAAGTTTAGGCTTCCTCAATAAGCAGCACGTCTCCTCCTCAGCATCCCTTGTCTAACATTACTTTATTCTGTATTTAGATTTAAATAGCTGACTCTTGGGTGTAACCTTGGTTGGAGCCATAAAGTTAGCAGAGAAATGGAGCCTTGCGTGCTTTTCTACCCAGCTTGTTCCCCCATACACATAACAAAACTCTCATTAAAATAGTTAAGCATAATAACCCTCTCCACCAGTAACCACCCACTCATATTATGAAAAAGCACACCGTTAAAATAGGATTTAAGGAAATATAAAACCCCAGGTACAATTAGGCATTTTATTCACAGTTCCTTGACTGTCCCCTTATCCGTTTCCAATCATAATGATCTTACCCTGTCTCTCACCTCTGCTTTGGGGAGTACTAACTCACTGGTCCTGAATCTGTCTTGTAGACAGGCTCTCTGCTGTGGCTGAGATTTACAGCCAGTTTGATTTGTCAAAAGTCCCATTCAGGCTTCTTTCCCTCCTACCCTCAGCCTTCCTCCATCTCAGCGAACAGTGGTTTGTTTACCCTCCTTCCATTATAAGCCAAACCACTGCATCAGGGCTCTTTCTTTCTGGTTTATTTTTGCTGTTCCGTCCACCCATAGGAACGGCAGAAAGAGAGAGATTTAGCTTTTCCTTGTGCAGTGATATGGACCTGTGTGGTTATCTAAACAGAAGAAAGGAAGAGAAAGGGAGAGGAGAGGACAGCACGGCAGAGGACAGGAGAAAAGTAACAGTGCCCACCAGGTATCTATTGGGTGCTCTTATGAACACCACCTAGTGATTCTCACAGCAGGACCTTAGGTGGGCAGTATCATGCCCATTATGCAGAAGAACACATACATAGAAGCATTATCTTTCCAGTTTTCTTCTTTCCATTGCTGATTTAAGCATAGATTAATCCACAATGGCCATAATCACATAACATAACCATTCCCTGAGCACTTTATGGTGTCATGCACAGAGCTAAAGCTCATTTTCCAGGTGAAGGAAATGAGGGACAGAGAGATGAAGTTACTCACCAAGATCCATTCAGAGAGTGTCACATGGGTAGCAGGGCCAGGGTTTATGGTCAATCCACCATGTTGGTAACTACTAGAAGAGTAGAAACCTCAGAGTTTAGAAAGAGAAAAGATATAATGGTGGCAGCATAATATAGAGTTTGCATTAAAAAAAAAAAAACAAAAAACAAAAACCTTTTAGGAAGACGGAGGAAGTGAAAGCAGAATTTGCTGGACCCAGAAGTGGATCTGCTGTGCATGTGGAGGTTGTGCATCTTCCAGCTGTGATGGGATGCTGCTGGGGCAGGCTCACACTTGGCAGTGCCCTTTGTTAGGCAGAGGTTGAGAGAAGCACTCAAAGGGGGCCCATGTGGGGTTAGACAGTAAGATATTTCCTGTCTCAACACCCAAGTGCCCTTACACCCTGAGAACCATGTGATAGGAGCTCCTCTTTGCGAGTCACAGGATTTCAACTTAGCTTCCTTTGATTTCCTCCCATCTTCTTGCTCTCTACTTTTTACTTATTTTCTTTCCCTACCTCCCTCTTTCCCTCCCTTCCACCTTCGCTTTCTCCTTTCTGATCAATACTGCCCTAGATCAAAACAGCTTAAATTTATCATTCAATATTTTTACAACTGCCTATAGCACTAACATATAACACTAGATTCAAAATAGGCTTCCAAAAATTCTTTGAGTTATAAAGGCAAGGTCGTAATCTTGGTGAGTCATAAGAGCCACAGTGTGATCATATCCCCTGAACCAGCAGTTCTGCACCTTAGATGCTTCTCTGAAGAAATAACCCAAAAGTAAAGAAAAATTACAAAGGTATTCACAGCAACAGAAACAAATAACAAATTAAAAACAGTTCACATGTTCAACAACAGGAGGATGATTGGGCAAATGACTTTGAATTATACTATGTACACAAAAGAACATGATGACGACGTCAGTGTTTTGCTTTAGATATAAAAGCGACTGAGCAAAAAAGATCAAAGTCCAAAGAGCACTGCCATGCTGATCACAACTTTAGAGAAACATTTCTTTGAACATAAACAATGATCAGAAATAGGTTTTTTTTTTTTTTTTTGGTAATGTTACTTAGACTTTAGGCAAATAAACAAAACCTAGGTAAGACTATCAAGACCAACCATGGGATTCTGAAAGGGTTTTCAGTTTCTCCTAAGTGGCATTGTTAGCATTTTGGGCCTTAGCATCCCTGACCTTTTGGTCAAGATGACCATTTTCCTCAACCTGGCACTGTCCGCCAGCCAGTAGAAGTGATCACAGATGCTGCCCTTATGGCCAGCCATACTCACCTTGACCTCTGTATGTTCTAACATGTTTCCTCTTGGCATCTAGCTTCTGAATCATGCTTGGTTAGTAGATTCTACCAGGACCATCACCTGCCTCTGTTCCTTTTAAGCAAACACCCCATGGTAGACACCTGAGATCAAAGCAATCTATTGTAGAATCTTACCCAGATGCCTCACTTTCCCCAATAACTGAGATTATTAAATGGCCTTGACCCTGGCTGAATGCCAACTGAAATGAAGGGCTTGGCATTTTCCTCAACTATAACTGTACTTCCAGCTTTCACTGAAGCCTGAGCACTCATAGTGTTCTTTTTCCCTTTAGAAGCAGTGCAAAGAGACACACAAAAATATTATTTGAGCAGTCAAAATGTATGTCACAAAATCAATAACAAAAATAATTGCTTTAATTATTAGAGGATAGCTATGCAGTCGGTGTAGTACTGGGCTCTTCACATGCATCCTCATTTAATCACTGCAATAACCCTAACAGAGGCGGTACTGTGATTTCTGCTTGTATTGAGAAGGAACCTGAGCCTGAGAGACTTCAAAATGATTTATTTCAGGTCAAACTGTTTAGGTTTTTCTGTTGTTGAATTCTCCCCCACCCTAACTTTACATAATACAGTCTCCCAGGCACAAAAGCTACCTTAGTATGGCTTAAGCATAGACAAGATCTTGTCTTTCCTCAGAGCAGACTTAGCCCTACTTGATGTACAATCCCGATAACACACTTGGTTATTTGTTTTCCAGGATTTCAGTAGAACAGGAATAATATATATTATGAAAATGAAAGGGTAGACTTAAGATTCGAGAGCAGAGATAGCCTGAATGTATAACCAAAGCCTGACAACAAAGAAGACAAAACAACCAGAGAAACAGATAAAAGGACTAAAATCATATCTGTTACTGTGGGGGCCAATTCTACATATTGCAAATAGTTCTAAGTTGTGTAGCCTAAAATGATAGTTGGAATGCACAGCGATGACCTTGATCCATTAAGATATGTTGTTCTGTAAAATCCACATATGCACGTAAAAAAGGACATGGTATATTTCAGGAGGAGTTTTATTTACATGATCTTATTTACAAAAGGAAGAGTTGTAATGTTTAAAGAATAAATACCCCCTTAACTCTTGGAAACATTGGTTCTTCAGGAAAATGGCACTTCTTTGTAAAAGAGCATTTGAATAACAAAGATTTCATTCACATTGGTTCACTATTTCAGCCATCCTCATGGACAAAATTTTCCTATAACTACGTTTTTGATGTCTAAATGTTATTCAATGCATGGCTTAACATTCAGAATTGGTTACACTGCTACTGGTTGGGTTATGTTGTGCATGCTCAGTTATTTTACAAAAGGGAGTTTCATGATATTTCAATGTTTCTCTTTTTTGTTTCTTAAACGAGAAACAATGACAGACCAATTTTCACTACATTTCTTTCTCCTGCAGGAAGGAACAATAAAGGAGAAATAGAATTCTAGTTGAGAAAACAGTTCTACCATTCATGTCTCCATTAGAAATATTTTGGGGTTTGTTCTTGGCAGTCTTATGCATTAAGTGACAGCAGAATTCTGAATTACAGAGGGTGACAGAATTCAGAAGATCTCAATAACTATAGTTTGGCTATTAGCTTCTCCTGATGTGTGTGTGTGTGTGTGTGTGTGTGTGTGTGTGTGTGTGTGTGTGTGTATTTTTCCCTTTCTTCTCCCTTTCCCACTCTTCATTGATTCAGAGAACTGTGGACTATCTCACTGCTTTATGATGTACTGACAACTTTAAATTTGGATCTGAAGTTTTCCTATGGAAAGAAGCATTTTGGTCATGAATTTTAAATCCTTTTATAAAATCTGAAACTTTAGAATGACACTTGGTCAAGCCCTCAGCTCAACCACATTCGACCTGACACCAGGGATGTTGCTGCTACCTTCTAAATCATTTTTCAGTCCATGACTCATGACCCATTGCCTCAGCCACCGCCAGGCTCAGCCCTGTGCTCAATAACTCACAGCTTGCCCATTACTCCATCCTTTACCTAGGCTCCTTGCCACAGTTTCCTTCCTCCCTGATTCATTTCCCACTCTGACACTTTGATTGTGTCATTACTATGTTTGGAATTCTTATTTGGCTTTTCATTGCTTATCACAGAACTTCAAAATCTGGGTAGTGTATCACACAATGGATCGCAGGGAGCACATAACTTTGGGTAAACAAGATAGGCTCAGGAAACAAAGTCTCCAGGAGAACTGCTCAAATGCAAACTTATCCATTTTTTTCTGGTGTTCTGCATATAAATATAGATATAGGTACCTATTTAGCTTTTATCTATCTATCTATCTATCTATCTATCTATCTATCTATCTATCATCTATCTATCTGCCTATCAAATATGGTTTACAATTTTCAGGAAGCTCTGGAAAAGTCTGTCTTATAAACCTTTGTAGACTGGCCCTATTTACTATTCTTTTATGGGACTTCTTACTCAACAACTCTTTGCCTCGTTACCTATGCTTCTTGATTTCACTTGTTTTTAAGACATGGAAACACTGAAATCCACACCGCATTTTTACAACTTTATGACTTTGAGCTCAAGGTCCCGGGTGAAATCCTCACTCTGTCTTTGCTTGGTGAACTTGTACACTTGTTTGTGACCCTGTTCAACATTCCCCTCTCTAATGTTCTCCCTTGTTTCTGCAAACAGGACTAAGTGCTTCCTCCTCTGTGTTCCAAGGAAAGCCAGCCAGTGAAACTTGAGCAAGTTACTGAAAGTCTTTGAATCTTAATTTTCTCACTTGAAAAATGGAGATAATAATACCTGCCTTGCAGGGTTAGCATAAGAATTAAATAAAATAACATATATAAAGCATTAAGCAGAGAGCTTGGCACATAGTAAGAACTCAGTAAATATGTGTTGAATAATAAATGATGGTTGTTATTATTAACTATCCATCTTTTGCCCGTGCACTTATCCCGTAATTGTGCAATAGTCGTGAGCTCTTTTTTAAAAGATTTTTTCTATTTATCTCAGCACACTAGATCGTGTCTGCTTCACTATCAGCTTCATGCAGAAAGAAATCTTGGGTATAATCACAGGTGCATCCTAAATGCCTCCAATAGTGCCTGGCACATAGAACATTTTCCTATGAGTGGTTGATTGCTTGATTTCCTCATTTGGCTCTCATGAAGGTCAAGTGTGATGATGGCTGTGAAATATTTTTAAAGTATAATCATTTTGCAAATATCTTGTAAATCAATGCAGTGCCCTTTCACTTATGTTTTTCAGCCTCAAGACTGATGCTCATGTTGAGCTATCGGCCCATGAACCTTTCTTGGGACTAGTGCTTCCCAATATAATGTTAAAGATCTGAGGAGGTATGAGGCTAATACAGAATGCTAGAATTTGTTGGACAGAGGTATGCAAGGCAGACATTCTAATTGGTATCGCTGTCTTCTGAAGTGATTGCCTGAAGAGTCACTTATGCATGTTGCTCATGTAGACATAGTTTTGAATATTTTGAACAGGGTCCACTTACTCTAGGTCCAGGGTAAGACTACCTTATCAAAGAAGGGGTACGTTGAGATGGGCAGATGAGGGACGTTCCTGTGTGAACTTCACCTAGGCATTCCTTAGAGACCAGCTGGCCCCATCTTCTTGGTATACTCCATAGAAAAGGAAATTTACTTCAAGAGAGTCAGGGACTTGTGCAAGGCCAGTTGTGCAGTTTTGGGACTCCTTGTTTACCATTCCTCCTTCCATTAGACTACAGTGCCTATGTAAGAAAGAAGTGAAAGACCTTCCAGGAGAGAAAATGGCAATATCTATAATACACTGGTCTCATGTAGTTCTATTAAGGGCTGCATTCTTTTGTGTCCAGTAGTTCTGACCTTTGGACAGAAGCCAAGAACAGAACCTTCTCTGCACATGAAGGTAAATAACATAAAGAAGCACAAATGTAGTTTTAGGCCAGATTGGTGTGTGTGTGTGTGTGTGTGTGTACTTGTGCATACACACACATAAGTGCAAGGCACTTCATTATTTAGGTAATGAAGAAGGTCTTTTTTGGGTCTTATTTGTAGGGTAAAATTTGGCTAGGGTAATATAAGTAAGAGGAAGCTTTTGGAAAATTAGTTTTTAAACAGTGGAATGGACCAGAAGAGGCAAGAAAGAGAGGAGACAGGGAGCCAATTATATTTTTTTCTGTTTGAACTGATGAGGTTCTTGTTTTGGTGGTGACCATAGGAACTGAAAGGAAGGGAAAGAAGTATCCACATGAAACTGTTAATGAAGAAGTAGTAACAGTTAATCAGGTGCCAAGGTGATTAAGTGAAAGTCAGAGAAGTAAACAAGACTGATACATACACCCTTTAAGATGATAAAATGGCCCCAAAGACAAGGAAGCTTCTTTAAATAAACACATTTCAGCTTGAATAAGAGGGATTTCTTGCCTGGGACAGAGAACAAAGCTAATTAAGGAAAGTGACTCATTGGCCTTCAGCTTATTACTTAAGAAATCTCTGAATTTGTGTGTTCTTCCATTAGGATTGTGTTTTCTTGAATCTGAACAGTCAGGCAGGATTCCTTCAAACCTCCAAACCCATCTCTTCTGTTACTCAAAAGGAAGCAGAACCGCCCCAAGTTCCCAAGACCCAGGTTCTACTCAGTGAGCTTGCTTCTTTCTGCTTCCAGGACTTCTGTTCATGCTCCTTGCAATTTTTTCTACATCTTCTCTCCCGTCTCCTAGAATTTCTTTGCTGTCAGATTCCTAAACTCCTGAATGAACTTTATTTAAGAATCCCTCATGGTAGTTCTATTAGTCAGCCCACCCAAAAAATTAAACCCAACTTACACAGTCTTGCCCAATGATTGGAATACTGTAAATATTCAGTAGCTTTGTATGCTTGTGGAAAAAAATGAATAAATAAATGATGAATTTAAAAAGGGGAGGTAGGAGGATATGTGAAATGAAAGGAACAATTTTATTTCACTGATGGATTTAACCTATATGACATCAAAAAATTGGTCAAGTTATTTTACTTCTTGTAAAAGCAGTACCACCTACGTATCAACAGCATTGTGAATCACTTACATAATGTAGGTAAAAGTGCTTTCGGTGGGGAAAAAATTGAGTAGAGAAGCATCTCTGGTCCAGTTAGCTCCTTCAGTGATAATAATCCATATCCTTTGTCAAGCAGATGCGATCTGAGAGATGTCTGGCATTGTGTGAACCATGATCTATGTGTGGTTGAAAGATTCCCCTGGCATGAGGTTGGTATGTTTTCACTGCACTGCAGCTGCGAATAATGATATGGCAACTGGCCAATTCTGCTTGATTGGATTGTTTTCTTCCATTCCCAGCATCTCCTGATTCTGTGGATACATCTCAGATCTTTCCTTACTTCCTTTTCTGTCACCGTCTCCTCTTTTTCTCTTTGTGATCTTTCTCATTTTCTTCCTTTTCTCCCTTTTTTTAAACAACAGCTCAGGCATTGACTGTGGACATTGCTGGCTAGATGTGATGAACTGGTGCAGACCCATGAAAATGATACAAGAGAAGAAAAGGATGATTCTTTTAAAGACATTGAGAAGACATCAGTGGATTCTGTGTTTTGGTTCATGTTTGAAAGCAGAACTGAAACTGCTGAATAGAGAAGCTATGAAGTGACACATTTGCAGAGGAACACTTGTGCCAGAAGTGAGATTGAGCCAGTTCACCCAACAGATTGCCTGTTGGATTTCATGCAGCCCAAACTGGTTTCATCACCGTCCTCCTTCCTATCACAGCTACTCTTACCCTCACCACAATCCCCTTCTTCCTCTGTTCTTGAATGGTCCTTATCCAAAAGGATAACAACATTGTCCAGTAAAATGTCCACTACCCCCATCCAACTCCAGAACCTGTGAGTGATGCTATGATGGTACAAAGCATTTGACAGGGATGATATGTTTGCCTGTGTCTGTGCTTCCATTAGACTGTGAGATCTTAGAAACTATCATTCTTGGCAGTGACTTCAATATTTTTGGGGTATGTTTTCTCCCTAGGATGATATCATTCCTCCTATTTACTCCATGGACTCAAATAAGTTAAGCTTTTATCAGTCAAAAATAGTTTTAAAATTTAGTAATAGAATAGTATTACT